GGAGGTGAATTTGAAATTTAAGGTCTAAAGTAGAAATAAGATGATGTGGTCTGCTTGCTTTCTGTTTAGATAGGCTTTAACAGCAATTGAAATTACATGGAGGCCAGGCCAGAAAGTGTGTGATAGTTGATGACTTATGAGCAGAGAAGCATTTATTCGATTGCATTATCCAAACTGGTTTATTAAAACTCCAGGTTGTGTTCTTACACTAAGAAAAACATTCAGTAAACATGAGACAAGTTTAGGAAAAATTAATAAAAGAAACTTTAGCCCTAGCCAGGTTTCCCAGTGTTTAGAGCATCGGACAGGAGACTGAAGGGTGGTGGGCTCAATTCCGGGGAAGGGCCCTCAGCTGCAGGCTCTATCCCGGCTCAGGTTGGGGCGCGTGAGGGAGGCAACCAATTGATGTTTCTCTCTCACATCAATGTTTCTCTCTGTCTCTCCCTTCCCTTCCACTCTCTCTTAGAAAAAAAAAACATTGGCAAAAATATCCCCGGTAAGTATTAAAAAAAAGAAACCTCACACTAAAAAAAACACAAATATACTAGAATAACTGACTCACATTTTCACAATTAGACTAATTCATGCAAGAGTAGGCCTTCCTTCCCCTAGCTGCCAGCACTGGCTTCCCTCTGGCACCTGGGACCCGGGCTTCCCTTGCAGCCCTGGCTTCGTTAGGAAGGACATCTGGTCTAATTAGCATATTATGCTTTTATTATTATAGACGGTGTATATCTTTTATACAAATCTTTGACATTTGTAAATCCTTTCTAGGATTAGTTTTCTAAAGTGAAATTACTGGGCAAACGGGTATAAACATTTGTAAAGTATTTGAAATGAACAGCCAAAGTGTAATATAATTTAATACTTAATGCAATAATTCTTTTTCTAACAGTTAATCCTTACTATATAGTACTTCCTATATAATATAGTAAGTATTATATAATAAGGATATTATACTAGAGGCCCGGTGCACAAAAATTTGTGCACTGGGTGGGTGGGGTCCCTCAGGCCGTCCTGTGCCCTCTCGCAGTCTGGGACTCCTCGGGGGATGTCCACCTGCTGCCTTAGGCCTGCTCCCAGGTGGCAGAGGGCAGGCCCAATCCCTAGGTGCAGCCCCTGCTCGGGCTCAGAGCAGGGCCGATTGGGGAGTTGGGGCGCCGCCCCTGTCATGCACAGAGCAGGGCGGATTGGGAGGTTGTGATGCCACCCTCAGTATCATCACCGCTGTGCTGGCAGCCTGTGGGGAGCATCTGCCCCCTGGTGGTATCTGTCATAGTGACCAGTCATTCCCAGTCGTTCTGCTGTTACGGTCAATTGGCATATTACCCCTTTATATAGGATACTAGAGGCCCAGTACACAAAATTTGTGCACAGGGATAGGGGGAGGGCGGGCAGGGAGGTCCCTCAGCCTGACCTGCACCCTCTCCAATTCGGGAGCCCTCAGGGGATGTGCTACCGACGGCTTGGGCCCACTCCCCATGGTTCTCTGCTCTCTGCGGGGCCTGCCTGCTCCACACCACGGGGATGGACAAGCAGGCCCTGCTGGGTGCTGACTGCTGGCCCCCCTTGCCTGCTTGCGGGTCGCGTGGTGACTGCCCAGCAGGCCCTACTGGGTGCTGCCTGTGGGCCCACTTGCCTGCTTGCGGGTTGCTGCTGCCACCGCCCGCAACCCCGCTTGCCTACTCCCCCTTCCCTGATGGATGCCACTTGAACTGAAAGGGTACCGACAATTGGAATTGTCCCTTATAATAGCTCTAGAGTCCCAGTGCAAGAAATTCATGCATGGGGGTGGAGGGGGAGGAATGGGCGGGGAGGTCCCTCTACCCAACCTGCACCCTCTCCAATTCGGGAGCCCCACTCCCAGTGGTTCTCTGCTCTCTGCAGGGCCTGCCTGATCCACACCATGGGGATGGTCAAGCAGGCCCTACTGAGTGCTGCCTGCAGGCCCCCCATGCCTGCTCATGGGTCTCTGTGGCAACTGCCCAGTAGGCCCTGCTGGGTGCTGCCTGCGCCCCGCTTGCCTGCGGGGCTCACATTGCTGGGGCGATGCCGCCAGGGTCCTGCCCAGCCGCTACGGGCGCCACCATCTTTGTTGCAGAATGACTGTTAATTTGCATATTATTCTTAGATAGGATTCCTGAGTATTTTGTGCCAGGAACTGTGCTTGGCACTGTGTATAATGCTATACAAAAGGAGACAAAAAAGTAACAGAGGGCCGGTTTGGCTCAGTGGATAGAGCATCCGCCTGCGGACTCAAGGGTCCCAGGTTCGATTCCGGTCAAGGGCATGTACCTGGGTTGCGGGCACATCCTCAGTGGGAGATGTGCAGGAGGCAGCTGATCGATGTCTCTCTCTCATCGATGTTTCTAACTCTCTATCTCTCTCCCTTCCTCTCTATGAAAAATCAATAAAATACATAAAAAAAAGAGTAACAGAGATATTGCTGTGCTGCCCTACCTCCTTCCCATAGCCACACTTCTCTTCCAATCAAATTTTTAAACTACAAATTTAAATTCAAGCACCATTATTAAGTGGTTTATATTTTATTAACTCATTTAATCATTACTGTAATGGCATGAGGTAGATTTGAATATTGTTTTAAAATCTAAGGCAGCTTAAAAAATTGTGCAGCATCACATAAGGCATGAAACTGAACTTGGCTCTGGAATCTGTGCCCTCAACATCCATGCTATAAAGCCTCTCAGATATAAGATTTTCTTAGATTCCAATCAAGTATTAGCATCAGCTGCCTGAGTGAAGAAATTAGGTTGATAACTTATTGGCTTTGACATATCTAACTTCTGCCCATCCAAGAACAGCAAAACACCAAAAATGAGAAAGCAGTTCTTTTGTTCTCTTTAAGACCTTTTATATTTTCTGTATATAATAAGCATTCAATTCTGTTTTCTGATATGTGCATTGCAGAAATTTTTTAAAAAAGGAAAATATTTTAAAAAGTTAACTCACCCAATTTTGCTACCTATAAATAAAAACTAAACATTCTGATGTATAATCTTTACATCATTTTCTATATATGTATAAATATATGAAAATTTTAAAAACTGAATGTTATGTATAGTTTTCTAGTTTTCTTTTTAGTAGATTGCAAGCATTTTTCCTACATTTTTCAAGGACTTATTTTTTTCTTTTTCTTTTTTCTTTTAAAATATATTTTATTGATTTTTTACAGAGAGGAAGGGAGAGAGATAGTTAGAAATATTGATGAGAGAAACATCGATCAGCTGTCTCCTGCACATCTCCCACCGGGGATGTGCCCGCAACCCAGGTACATGCCCTTGACCGGAATTGAACCCGGGACCCCTCAGTCTGCAGACTGACGCTCTATCCACTGAGCCAAACCAGTTTCGGCAAGGACTTATTTTTTTAATGGGAACCATAATCTACACTAATAAAAGAGAAACATGCAAATTGGTGTCACTCCACTACGCCCACCAGCCAATCAGGATGAGCATGCAAATTAACCCAACAAAGATGGCAGCTAATTTGCATATGCAGGCTCAGCACGAAGACTGAAGGCTCCACCAGAGCGAATATTGAAGACAACTGAAGACCGAAGACGACTGAAGAGGCTTGGCTTCTCTGCTGTGGTCGGAGAGAAGGCCTGGGTCCTGGGTGCCGGCAGAAAACTGGTGCTGGCAGCCAGGGGAAGGAAGGCTTATTGCACCAATCTCTTCGTGCAATGAGCCTCTAGTACTTAATATAAAATGAATGTACCATTATTTAATCATTCCCATATTGTTAAATATTCGTTTCAATAACTTTTTGCTATGAGATGCTTTGATGAATGCTCTTATACACATAAACATCTTTAATGAAATTATTTCCTTAGGATGACCAGAAGCTGGGATTGAACCAAACAATATTTTAAGGCTCTTGACATAAGCTGCCACTATCCTAGAAGGCTGTGCTAACACTTCCATAATTAACTCTTTTTTGAGTTGTATCTTCTTAATAAACAATATTGTCATTCTATTCCACTTTTCCATTCAGTTCTTTTATTTTATTTTTTAATATATTTTATTGATTTTTTACAGAGAGGAAGGGAGAGGGATAGAGAGTTAGAAACATCGATGAGAGAGAAACATCGATCAGCTGCCTCCTACACGCCCCCTACTGGGGATGTGCCCGCAACCAAGGTACATGCCCTTAACCGGAATCGAACCTGGGACCTTTTAGTCCGCAGGCCGACGCTCTAGCCACTGAGCCAAACAGTTCTGGCTCCATTCAGTTCTTTTGGACTTGCATTTTTGTTGTGATCAAACACCAATTCAACAAATATTTCCTGAGTACTTTCTTTGTGCCAGGAACTGTGCTTGGCACTGAGTATAATGTTACACAAAAGGAGACAAAAGAGTAACAGAGGTATTGCTGTGCTGCCCCTATCTCCTTCCCATAACCACACTTCTCTTCCAATCCAATTTTTAAACCACAAATTTAAATTCAAAACTATAAATTTAGACTTCAGAATATGGAAAAAGTACTGAAAAACTAAAATATTGGAAGTAAAAATTGTTACAGTGCTTACTTACCAGAAAGGCATTGGAAAGGCAAAACGTTCTCTCAGGTCAATAGCCATGAAAGGAACATATTCTACACCATTTATTTTTGACGTTGTCCTAAAAAATATAAGAAAATAAAATCTAAAGTAAATGTTCACATTAGCATATTTACTTAAACTCCTTAAAATTTAAATGACAAGGTATGGTACTGTAATAAAATTAAACCAACAATCTCACGTTGGACAAAACCAGTATCTTTATTTGGACAAATTTTTCACAAAATTGTTGAATACCAGAAAATAACTGATTTAACTCAATTCAGTAGAGTTACAAAACAATAGTCTCAAGAAAGGCCCAACCAGAAGTATTGAAAGTATCTGTGACACCAAGGACAAAGTGAATTCTATCCTAAGTCCAAAGGGAGAAAACAATTGCTTGGTTATTTTGAGATTTAAAAAAAAAAATGACATCTATAACTATGAAACTATATTCTTCATATTTTCCAGCACATGGAGTGGTTAAGTGTCATAGATAACAGCTAAGGCCTCTTGAAAAGTTAAAGAAATGTGTTTGGTAGTAGCTTTGCATATTTTGTTTTGTGTATATTTATTTGTATACTAGTATATTTACTATTTCCTTCTTCTGTTTCTTTCCCTCATTTTATTTATAAGTAATTGCAGGGTAACTTCACCACTTAGTCCCCAATATTCAGGGAGACTGTGACTGAATTTGAAGAACAGTTATAACAGTAAGCGATGGATACTATGACTGTGTATATTCTTTTTCTGAGAGGATGAGAACTTATCACTTGTATGAAGGATAGCTGCATTTGTTAGAAATATAGAGTTGTTTTGTTGTAGTATGGAATGTCAAATGTGTACAGAAGAGAGCTTTTGGATTCCGAGTAGCCCGAGTGTCGGATTGTTACTAATCTACCGTCTCTCAATTCCAAAACCACCCTTATTCATCCTGCTCTGCGTTGTTTCGTTTCACATGCAATTTGCCAGGCAAAGAGAGCCAGACTTGTAGGAGAATTAAAATCCATAGCAAGAAAAGAAAGAAAAATACCCTCAGGTGGCTGCTATGTGAGGAGCCCTTTAGGCTCAATTTTAGGAAATTAAAAATGAGCAACTACATGATTTGCACTACTCTAAGTAGGTTAGATCTCTCCCAGAGCCCAACTGAAGAACAGCCACACTGGCTCAGAGATTTATCCCATCTGGGATGGCTCAGAATGCAACCAAGGAGTTCCACATCACCGTTGTTTGCATTTTTAACACCCCTGAGGCTCTTCCACACACTGATATGGCTTCCTAGACCAGGGGTTGGCAAACATTTTCTTTAAATGGCCAAATAGAATATAGTTTTGGCTTTGCAATGAGGTCTGTCATATGTTGTTCTGTGTTTTTTGTTGCTTTGTTTTAGAACCCTTAAAAAAATCCAAAAACTATTCATAGCTCAAGACTTCCCTTTGCTGACTCCTGGCCTAGACTGCTATTTCAAGGTAACAATTTATTTTTCCCATTAGGGATCTGGTAACAAAAAGTTGCACAGATGATTGATTGGTCTGCCACAGATCTATTTTGCTCCCTAAATTCTAGTTCTCAATTTTGAAGAATGCTAGGATTTTCAGGAAAACATACCTAGTAGAAATGCTAATACTAAAATATATTAGAAAAATTTTAAGTATTTAAAGTTGTGACTGCATGACAATATATAATTAATAGCATTATACACTATAAGATGTGAATATGACCCAACAAACCTAATGAGAATAAAATTGTTCATTACAATGAATGAGAAACTAATTTACCTGAGAACTTCTATTTCTTCTGCTGTGTATCTCTGTCCTTGTGCATCGCATGCCTGTGGACTTATAAATTGCTGAGGTCTTTCAAGAAAGGGATTAGTTCCTAGTGGAAAATGTGCTCTTGCTGGAGGTGGCTTTGGTTTAATATTGGTTGACTTGACTTTGCATAATGGCTTTGTTAAAGGCTCACTCAATGCTTCTGCTCTATAATAGAGGTACAGAAACAGTGTTTAGCTTTTTTCACATTTAAGCTTTCCAGAAAATAAAATTTACTTCAAGAACCAGTCAATCATTCCTAATGTAAACCAGTATATAAAATTCTTACAAACTAGTCAACTGTTCACTACTTAAGCTACTCACAAAGGTATTTTTGCAAACAACATTCTATTAAGTGAGCATTTATATCAGATACTATGCAATGGGGATACAAGAATGTATAAAACACAATCCCTACTTTTAAGGTGTTCATAGTTTTGTGGGGAAAGAAAGACAACTACATCAAACGTGACAGATGCTAACATGAAATAGTATTTTTGAGTAAATGCATGACAGAAGATATTAACTTAATGAAGTGGGAAGAGAGGGTGAATCAGGGAATGTTTTTTCTGAATTGATGTTTCGGCTGCAGAGAGGTCCACTAGGGGAGTAAGGAAGTATTTGGAATAGAGAGAATAGCATATGCAAATGTATGAAACAGCAGTGAGTTAAGGTAATTTCAAAAGAATGGACATAACCCCTGTAAACAGTGCAAATGAGAAGCAGTGGGAGATAAAACCACCCCCAGGGATTGGATTATAGGCCTCACATGATAATCCAGGTAATTTTGACTTTGTCAAAGAACTAACAAGCTAAAAAACAGTTTTTTTAAAAATATATTTTATTGATTTTTTTACAGAGAGGAAGGGAGAGAGATAGTTAGAAACATCGATCAGCTGCCTCCTGCACACCCTCCACTGGGGATGTGCCCGCAACCCAGGTACATGCCCTTGACCGGAATCGAACCTGGGACCTTTCAGTCCGCAGGCTGACGCTCTATCCACTGAGCCAAACCGGTTTCGGCTAAAAAACAGTTCTTAATCTGAGGTCCATATATAGTTTCAGGAGTCTTGTGAAAATTCTGAAATTCATGCCAAAAAATTTATGTACATTTTTCTTAGAGAATGGATCCATAATTTTCAACAGATCCTCAAAGGAGCCCATGACTGACCCACTCCAGTGCACTTAGGGATACACTTAGAGAATACTGGATGGGTTAGCTGCATAGGTAATAAAAGTCATCGACGATTCAGACTGGTGAAAGAAGTCAAAATGGAGAAAATAACTGTGTTAAGTGTCCATATTTTCAAGAATTTGAAAAAAATAAACTAAAGGCTAGATGATGGTAATAAAATGGAGGGATGACTATTATACTTTGATAAAAAAAAGGACTGGAGTGGTACAGTTAGCTAGTCAGAGCCTCAAAAGGAGGCAATTTTATGAAATATAACTATAAAAGCAATTTCCACCCTTTTCCTTTGTCTATAGTATTCTTCAAGGGTAGAATTCTATGGTGCAAATCCATTTATTCTTTCAAGAAATGCCTACTGAGCACATACTATAAGTCCAACCCTGTGCTATACGCTCAGTTAGAGCATTAAACAAAACAGAGAAAATTCTCTGTGCTCAAGAGCTTGCATTGAAGTGATGACTGTTGGAAGGGACACAGACATTAACATGACAAACTGGTAAATTTCATGTCTTAGAAAGCGTTAAGAGTTGGAGCCAAAACCGGTTTGGCTCAGTGGATAGAGCATCGGCTTGTGGACCGAAAGGTCCCAGGTTTGATTCTGGTCAAGGGCATGTACCTGGGTTGCGGGCACATCCCCGGTAGGAGATGTGCAGGAGGCAGCTGATCGATGTTTCTCTCTCATCGATGTTTCTAACTATCTCTCTCCCTTCCTCTCTGTAAGAAATCAATAAGATATATATAAAAAATTTTAAAAAAAGAGTTATGGAAAATATTAGAATAGAGTACGCAGGATAAAAGTACTGAAGGAGATTCAGTTTTATATTGGTTAGGGCAGGCCTTATTGAAAAGTTGACATTTGAGCAGTTAAAGGAATTACTACATTATATAATTTAGGGTATGTGTTATGGCTGTAAACTGGCTCATTCTCAATTTCTTCATTTTTATTATTAGCTCTAGAAGGCTCTCTGGAAGTTCTCTTCTTTGGAAGTCTGATATTACACAACAGAAGGGAAGTTTTCCATTTCAAATACCATGATCATTTTTGTTTCATATATAGAAAAGCTACAGAGAACATTTCTTGATTAATGTTATTTTTTAAATTTAAAGCAGGAAACTAGAGAAGTGCACTCAGAGGAAAAAAAACACACTTCCTCTACATCTCAGATAAAAGATGGAGATGTGTTATTATAAGCTCTAACACATTTAGATCAATCTGTCACATTTAAGTGACACAATACACTGCCACCCATGGAAAAGAACTTAAGTGACCAAAACTCACCTATCTAGTGCCTGTCGAGCCAACTGTTTCAGTTTATTTTGCAGAGTTTTATCAGCAGTTTCATAGGACTTAAGAGAAAGAGAGACACACATTTTGAAGTATAGTTATTTTTAAATTTTCTGGATTCAGCGTATTTCTAAGCAAAAAAATTAACCATGCACATTACACTTCTTGAAATTATGAGAGAATAAACCAAGACATTTTCTTTTCATTCTTAAAGGTACTGTTTAAAAGAGTGTTGAAAACTTGTCATTGAGGTAAGCTTTAAGGCCACTTAAAGTGGACAGGTGGTAACTGGAACACAACTATGTGTGACCTGGTGCCACGGAAGGCAGGAACCTCAGAAGACCAGCACTTCCCTCCAGCCTCCGGTACCCATAGTGATCAGGCTAGATGGTTCTCCTGAGCAAAACACCCTAGACAAAAAGCCAGTGCTCTGAATAATACTGAGACCACTCTCTACCACTTCACCTCATCTTCCTGTCAAATACACTGCTCTATGCACTAGATGCCCTGTAAAGCTCACATCCCACCTAGGGCTCCTCAGAGAGAAGTAAAAGCAACTCATCATATAGATTTTACATTGCAAATTAATAAAGCACTACCAAACCACTACCTTTGTTTTTAGTGTATGAAATTGAAAAAAAAGGGGGAGGGGAGTTTATTCTAAATTTGTGATAGTGAATTCTTCCTGTAATAAGTTAGTTTAGTTATACGTAAAGAGGTGTAAAAGCTACCTGTAATTTAGAAAAAAATTGCTTAATGATTCAATCTTAATGCTGTTAAAAACTTTAAACGAGATAAAATCCACTATTCATTTTTTACTCTCCATCATTTAATGAGTAATTTAGTTACATTCATGACACATTTTTTTCTTTAAGAAATTGTTAAATAAAATTAACTAGTAAAGGGAGAAATTTCTTAGCATAATTCCACCAAATTTAACTTGTAGCTATACATACAGTTTTTAGACAGAGATCTACAGCTTCAGTATACAATTCTATAGCATCTTCAACATTCCCCTTTTCATCTTCGTCAAAAGCTTGTGTAACAAGGAAATGGGCACGCTCCAAGTCCAACTGATGTTTTGATTTCAAAGGATCAGCACTCTTAGACTGAACTAGGATAGGAAAAAAGCCACATAGAAGAAGTATTACCTATATATCTATCTGGGAAACAACATACCATTTTAATACATTTAAGACATTCTTTACCAAACCTCTATAAACCTTCATTTAAAAAAAAAAACTTAGCAAGGTAGAGTTGTGCTAAAACCCACTGAATTGTACATAATAAGAAGGTGAATTTTGTGGTATGTGAATTATATCTCAATAAAGCTGTTATCTTTCTTTAAAAGCTTTACCTTTTGTCTCTTAAAGGTATATGGTGATTTTTTTCTTATCCTTACCTGAGGATAATTTTTCCAGTGAATTTTAGAGAGAGTAGGAGGGAGAGGGAGAGACAGAGAAAAACATCAATATGAGACACATCGATTGGTTGCCTCCCACACGAGCCTGACCAGGGCAGGGGATCAAGCCTGCAACTGAGGTATGTACCCTTGACTGGAATCAAACCCAGGACCCTTCAGTCCACGGGTTGATGCTCTATCCACTGAGCCAAACTGGCTAGGATTGGTGATCTTTTCTTACAACTTTAACCCTCAGTAACACCTCTCTGAATAATGTACGAATCCCATTTATAAAATGAAGATACCAAACCTCAAAAATGTTAAAATACCCAGTTCAGGGTTTCTCAGCCTTGGCACTACTGACATTCTCGATGGGTAATTCTTTGCTGTGGACTGTCCTATGCATTGTAGGATTTTTCAGTCTCTGGCCTCTACCGAACTAGATGACAGAAGTATACTCCCCACCTCCCCTAGTGTAAAAACTAAATTTCTCTCCAGACATTGCCAAATGTCTCATGAGGGGGAAAATCCCTCCCAGCTGAGAATGAGTGATGTAACCTAAGGTTTCATAGCTACAAATGAAGGGTAAGGACTCAATTTAGATCTTTTGTCCGTTTGTTTATTTATTAATGATCAATGATCTCTGAACTTTTTGTTGGTCTCCTGCCTCCCAAGGGGTGCCCACTTCTGCTGCCTTAACATCTCAGAACTTTGGTGTCACAGACCTCAGACACCACTTTGCCATCCATAATCCTGGGGTGGTGGTCTTTTGGTTGGATTGCATGGTGTTGCTGTTGTGTAGGGCATCACCAAGATGGACGTCCTCCCCTTCTCCCAGCAGGTGGCAATCTCAGCCTCTAGCTTGACCTTGATGTTTAGTAGGGCCATGTACTCTTGTACCTGGCGCTGCTGCTCTGCCCCGGGCCTGAGCCAGCTCTGACTCCAGGTGCAGCAGTATCCTGTCAAGCTGTTCCATCTACATGGCATAATGCATCTCCACCTCCCTCAAGATGGTCTCCAAAATGGCCCTCAGATTTCTGGAGTCCAGGTTGATGTCCAAGACCTGGACCACACGTCTCATCTCTGAGAATGTCATCTCAGTCATTCCTGCCTCAGTGGTCTGCAAGGTGACTGTTGTGGTACTCTCCTCAATCTGTTGGGACCAGTACTTGTCCAGCTCCTCTTGGTTTTTCCAATCCAGCTCATCATACTGGGCCCAGATGCCCGCCTGCCATGATCTTGCTGAGGTCTTGAGATTTGGAGGCATCCAACTCCATAGTCAACCCAAAGTTAGCAGCCTGGTTTTATAGACCATTTACTTCCTCCTCATGGTTCTTCATGAAGAGCAGCTCCTCCTTGAGAGCTCCGATCCCTGTCTGCAGCCGAGTGATATTGGTGTCATCAGTGATTTTTCAAAGCCCATTGATGTTAACTCTCCATAGATTGATGCATGGCCAACTCCATCTCAAACTTGACTCTGAAGTCATCAGCAGCAAGACTGGCATTATCAATCTGCAGAACAATGTCGGCATTGTCCACAGAACCTGCAAAGATCTGAGCCTTCGGGTCCTTTCTTCTCTAGTCTCTGATGATCAACCTTGACTCCTTACCCTCTCCAGGCAGTCATTTAGGAATTGCATAGTCTCCTTGCTCTGGACACCCCCTACCTACTAGGCTCCCAGACCACCAGCAGCCATACATTGCTGGTCGAGTAGGGGACATGGAGATGTGCAAGCCCAAACCCCCAGTGCCTACATAGACACTGGCCACACTGATGGCTGGCTGGGTAACTGCACAGAGCCCAGGGTCTGGTAGTTGGTGGAGAAGATGGAGTGGGCGTTAAAGCTCATGTTGTTCAGGGAGGAAGGTGAGCGATCAAGAGCTGGGTTCAAACTGCTTCAACTGGGATCTTTTAATTCCAAGTCTTGAGTTTTTATTCTACACTGGTGAATTTCAAACTGTGTTACTTCTCCCCACCCAAAAGACAACTCATCTTTCAAAGATCTCTTCACTGCCAGCAGATTTTATGTTTTAAAAATTGGGTTTCTGAAGAAGATTTTTTTTTTGATAAATGACTCTTCTGTTTAAAATATTAAGGAAACCATTTAATGCTCTACAGATTTCATTTCATTTGTTCAATAAAATGGGCCCAAAAGCTAGCAAAACAATTAAGGTATGTTATACTTTAAAAATCCTTTTGAACTTTACTTCTGTTTCACTGGAAAGCTTTATTCTTTCAAGAGGTAAGGTCTATCTCATTCTGTGCCTCTCTATCACATTTATAAATTTAAGAACTTCATTTACTTGGTTGGGAAAATAAAAGTTTCTTGGAATTTACAGGTATTTTGAATACATGAATCAATGTAACTTTTTATCAAGTAGGGCCCTGATGCACAGGCAGTACACATTTTAATACATACAATTTTTGGGACCTTAATTTATACAATTTCTGGGACTTGTCTTAAACTAACCCACCTTGTCTTTTTTTTGATGTTGTTAATCCTCACCTAAAGATAGTTCTTCCATTGACTTAAAAAATATATATATATTTTTATTGAGTTCAGAGAGGAAAGGAGAGGGAGACAGAAACATCGACGATGAGCGAGAATCATTGATGGCTGCCTCCTGCAGGCCCCCTACTGGGGATGGAGACTGCAACCAGGACATGTGCGCTGACCCAGAACAGAACCATGATCTCCTGGTTTCTAGATTGATGCTCAACCACTGCGCCATATGGGCCGGGCTTTCTACTGATTTTTTTTAAGAGAGTGGAAGGAACAGTGGAAAGTAGGAAGGGGGTGAGAGAGAGAGACATTGATTGGTTGCCTCTCACAATCATTACAACCAGGGCCGGGTATCAAACCTGCAACTGAGGTACGTGCCCTTGATCAGGAATTGAACCCGAGACCCTTCAATGTGTGGGCTGATGTTCTACCAGTGAGCCACACCGACCAGGCTAAACCACCTTGTCTTTAAAGGGACTGTCATAGCAAGGAATCCAATCATCAAATCTACTTTATCCTAACTATGTGCTTATAACTTCTGCTCCTATCTATTCAGAATGAGTAGTGGAATGTAGCATGAAGTTTATCATGAAAGGCTGAATAAGTAAAGATTTCTCTAAACTAGTGACATTAACCTGTTCAACTGGTATGCTGCAAGAATTTTTAAAACATGCAATACCTGACTATTTAGATACCTCGTTTTCATTAGGCTGTCAAATTAAAAATGACAGTCAACACAATAGCTAGCCGGTGTGAATGAAATAAAATTATACTTTTTTTGTGTGAGATTGGCAAAAATAATATGTTTTTTGGTGTGCCACTGAATTTTAATAATAGTTTATGTGTGCTATGAGATAAAAAAGATTGACAATAAACACAGCCCCTCCCCCTGATCTCTTTGTTCTGTTTCCCCTCTCCCTCCTTATAATAACCTCTGCCTGCCCTATCTGGTTTGGTTCAGTGGAAAGAGCATTGGCCTGTGGACTGAGGGGTCCTGGGTTCGATTCCTAGTCAAGGGCACATGCCCGGGTTGTGGGCTCGATCCCCAGTAGGGGGAAGTGCAGGAGGCAGCCAATCAATGACTCTCTCTTATCACTGATGTTTCTATCCTTCCCTCTCTGAAATCAATAACAAAATATTTTTAAACACTTAAGAGGAGTAGTCATTTAAATTTAATACCAGGAGAGGGCATGTGACAGATATTTAAAAAGCAGACTTTAACAGGGTCCTAATCCTGATTTTGCTACTGATACAGTCAGAATGTAAATAACTCACCATTTCTAAACCTCTGGGAAATTAGGAGACTGAACTGTATTATCTCTAAGGTCTTCCTTCACAGATCTATACTTCATTTACATATTATGACTTTTAAAGATGTGATTACCAAAAGAGGAATTAACAACAAGAGACTTAGGATCAAGATCCAAAGATAAAAATGAGAGAGAAACATAGAGGGAAAAGGAAGATGTGATGGAAGAGAAGAAAAAAAAAAATACAGTGATAAGTTTAGTAGTCTTTTACTAACCTGCTGAATGTAAAGCCTGAACTCTTTCCAGATATTCATTTATTTTTTTTTGAATGTGTTCTAGGCTCGATCCTGCCATCTCAGCATAAATTAAGGCTTGTGCAGCTTCCTAAAAATAAGAAGTCAAAGGAATCTAATATATAAATTACAATTTGAATTTTCTTTATTACTTTTTAACTATTGGTTCCTATGAATGACAAAACTAGAATGTCCTTAAGATATTAATAACTTTACTTATAAAGCAAATGAATTATATAATACTCCAATACCCTTTCTTCAGTTCTTAATGCTCTTAATTTTCTCATACTGTTGACAACTTATCAACTCAAATAGGAGGGACTGATTATAAACATTTTCTTAGAATAGCTGTGATTTATATGTTTTCTTTATGCAACAGGTCAGACTTAAAATTATATACCTTAAAATGGTGAACTGTGCCTTAAAAGTATTAGAACAGATAACAATCTATACTAATAAAGGGGTAATATGCTAATTAGACCGGGAGACCTTCCGGACAAAGCCATGGTGGCGGGGCAGAGGCGGTTAGAGGTGTCAGGCCAGGAGGGGAGGGCAGTTGGGGGTGAGCAGGCCGGGCTGAGGGACACCCCACCTCCCCATGCATGAATTTTGTGCATCGGGCCACTAATAATCAATAAAATAGGATAAAACTAAGTGTCAAGAAAAGATTACAAGAAATTATAAAGCTTAAATAACTCATAGTGGGAAGAAAATCTTTCTCCACAGAAAATACTGCCAAATGGTGTCACAGTTTAAAGCAGGTTTCAGCTGCATGAAATCAACTTATTTTAATTAAGAAACTCTGGATTCACCTTTCAGCTATTCATTCCCTAACTTCCACAGCCAATTATGCTGTGGCTAATGAGGAAGAGCTGCCATTCTTCCCATCACCATGTCAGGATGGTTACCAATGCTATCACTGAGAAGGACCAGAGAGATTTCTCCAAATTGCAACACTTTCTCTGCAGTAACCTAAACATGTACACTTTGTGAAGCCGCATGGCTAATTAACTAGATCCAAAAAAGCCATCCACTGAACATCACTTTTTGAATCCAGCTATTGGAGCAGGAGTTGTTTTATTAAACCTAAGAAAATCAGTAACAAACAAAAGTTATTGATTTTGATCCAAATGGAAATTCAGTCTAAAAGCTGTGGGGGTGCAAAAGCTATAATTTCCTCAGATTCTGTAACTCACTTATTTCAGGGGAGAAAAAAAATAACTTCACATGTACCATCATTATCTAAATACGTTATAGCTACACTTAACTTCAATAAATTAATGCAATATATATTTTACCCCTTTAATTATCTTGCATGTAAATACCGATTTCCAAATTATTTTGCTTAGCAAATAAAGCAAATTTTAAAAATTGCTGGTATCAATTTTATTTTACTCATTTCATTTCTATTTGAAAGTGATTAACACTAAGGAATCCCATATAGAACATTAAAGTAAGCACTAAATATCCCATAAAGTTTATGTATGTAGTTCCTAGGAGCACAACCACACTGACTTTCTCAAAGATAAAAAATTCTTCCTAATGACATGCATATAAATCCGATAGCAAAACAAGAGGCACTGCATAGTATATTGTTTCACTTTAGAAAAAACTATTTTATATGGCACTCTTTTAATCTATGAATATTTACCAGTTATCTCACAAAACTAAAAGACACAGAATTTCTACTTTTAAAGAAATACCACCTTCATGAAATTGTCCAAAAAAAAGTCCGAACGAAATGATTATGAACAAGTCTCCAAATACGGATTATAAAATATTAATTCGAGAAAAGCAAACCACACATTACTGATATAGCATATCTGTTCATGGAAAAAAATTACTACTACTCTGACATTTCTAAAAACAAAACAAAAAGGGTGACAATATGATAAAGATACAGCTACAAGGAAGAAGAGGGCTCAGCTAGGGCTGGAGGGGTGTGTCTGCAAATCCTCAAGATTGGAGAGCAGGGGGTGGGCTGTAGAAGCTCACACCCTGACTTAATAATTCTGCCCCGAGTAATTTATACAAAAGAAATAGAAAACACATGTATAGAGAATGAATGACAAGGATAGTAACCGAACCATTACTTATGATGCTAAAATACCCGAATGATGCTAAAAAACACAATGGAATGCTGTGCCTCTGCTAAGATATCACAGAAGTAAACTTAACGATTTGAAAAAGTTCAAATGAACAGGTTATAAATAGTATCAACAGTAGGGTCCAAGTCTGTTTAAAAAAAAAGGGTACACACACACACACACACACACACGCGTCGAAACGCAAGCACAAAAAATATACCATCAAGTGCTAGAATAAAAGACGTTTTCTTCTTTAAAAACTTATTTTGTTTTCTTCAACGAGCATGCATGATTTTAGTGTGTATGAGACTTCCCAGGAGCCGTAAATGGAACCAAGTGATAGAATTAGCCGGCTACTCACCGCCCACACCTACTACTGCGGCCACGGCAGCCCCAGGTGGGCCCCGCCAGTCCGGACTGCAACCGGAGAGGTAGTCACTCCAAAGCTGTGAGCAAACCTGCCCCTCGTGGCAGAAGCCCCGGTGGGCGTGGGGTGCCTGGTGCCCGAGAAGGAAAGAGCACCGGGACCCGCCCCTCGGCCTCTCCGACGGACTCCGCGGTCCCCAGCTCACCTTGTAGTAAAACACCGCCTCCGAATAGCGCCCTTCGTGGTCGCGCTGCACCGCCAGCCGCGCGAACTGCACGGCGTCCCGCTCCAGCGCCGACGAGTCCATGGCGCCGAGGCCCCGCACCTGGCGGGGGAGCGAGGCTCTGACGCAGAGGCGCTTCGCCGACCCTGGCGCACCGGGGAGCCGGGGCCAGGACTCCGGAGCACCGAGGGAGGACGGACCAAGTTTCCTTACGGCAGCCGCGTAAAGGGAATGGGTCTTTGTTAATAGAGACAGTTTTCCTTTCTAAACTGGATGTCTTTTATGTCAATTTATTGCCTAATTGCCGTGGCTAGGACATCTAGTACAGTGTTAAATAGAAGTGAGAGAGCGCAGCCTCGCCCTCGGGAGATTCTCTGGGGCTGGGGCCGCGCAGGCCGGACTCCTCGCGGGAGTTCAAGGAGATGGGCGGGGCCATTCCGGCGTGCAGGCGCGCACGTGACCGCCACGGCTCCCGGGATTGGCGGGCAGTACCGAGTCGGGGACCAGTACGCTTTCGCTGTCTACGTGGAGGTGGCCGGGCCGCTGACGCTGTTGCTGGGGGCTCGCCGGGACTGGGGCGCATGCGCTGTACAAACTTCTTTTTTTCCCTACCAGCTCAAGGGAAGGCTCAAAGAGCCAACAAAAAGCACTTCCGAACATCATCTGGACTGAAATTTTAAAAATAAGGGACTTAAAGACATTCACAGGATGGAGTCTTTTAAGGTACCCATTAGTAACGTTTATTTTCCACAAACTCAATCATGACCCAGCACACAGCACCTCTCGTGTATATATACCCCTAAGTACTGATTGAATTGTCAACAAACAATGTATTTCACTTGTAGGTATCCTTATTTTAATGCTGTGATAAAATAATTAGGTGATTATTTGATGAATGTCTTCTCTCTCTAAAAGTCTGAATTCAGCAACAATAAAAATAAACTAGGGGTAGTCACCACAATATAGAGTAGTGGTTCTCAACCTTGGCTGCACATTAGAATCACCTGGGAATCTTTTTAAAATCCTGATTTCTGGGCCTCATCCTCTGGAAATTCTTTCTTTGTTACGGGGTGGGGCCACAACATTAGTAACAAAGAAACAGAATTTCCAGAGGATGAGGCCCAGAAATCAGGATTTTAAAAAGATTCCCAGGTGATCCTAATGTGCAGCCACGGGTGAGAACCACTGATATAGATGAAACACAAAATCCATGCTGAGTCAAAGAAACAAGACGCCAGAGTACACATGGCATGATTCTGTTGATAAGTGTAATCAATAACGCTGGAAATCAAATGGGAAGGGAACGTTCAGGGTGATGGGAATGTCTTGGTGGTGGTGGTGCCAAATGTATACATTTGTCAAAATCACCAGCCTACATTTTAAATGTGTGCTTTTAATTCATTCTTCATTACTTCTCAATGGATTTTTAGTCAGTTGGGCTGTGTTTAAATGAAACTAATTTCTTAATTTCTTCACTCTCTTTTCCTATTTAGGGAGGTTAGTAATGATAACCATTCCATCTGCCTGTTGTAAAGAACACAGGTGAAAAGAATTTGCCTGTCCTTGCTACAAAGCTGGTTCTCATCCTACAGTTTCACAACTAAAGCAGGGATGTTTTCTGACTGTAACAGTTTTACCCCAATATTAAGCACAAGCCTTGGTACAGAGCAGATGCTCAGTAAGTATTTTAAAATGTTGATGCCGAAACCGGTTTGGCTCAGTGGATAGAGCGTCGGCCTGCGGACTGAAGGGTCCCAGGTTCGATTCCGGTCAAGGGCATGTGCCTGGGTTGCAGGCACATCCCCAATAGTGGATGTGCAGGAGGCAGCTGATCGATGTTTCTCTCTCATCGATGTTTCTGGCTCTCTGTCTCTCTCTCTTCCTCTCTGTAAAAAATCAATAATATATATTTTAAAAAATGTTCCTTCCTTGACCTTCCCCCACTAAGTATATCCAATGTGCTGTCGTTCCCCATCTTGGTTCTGAAGAATGAAATATAAATTCCCCAGCACAGAGTAGAGGTCTTTTAGTTAGAACATGTGTTCAGGCCACATTGTCAAAGTGTTTGCAGTCACTAAAGCAGCTGAATGCAGTTTTATTCACTCAAAACTGGACTTCTATGTCTAACGCTCCCTCTCTGATCACAGCTTGTAGAATTCCTAGTCCATCTTGAAGGAAGCCTTTCCTAATATTCCAGGTAATTGTGATCTCTCCTTGAGCTTATATACTCCCTATGCATGTAATCTTTATTCCTTATTTATTTATTCGATGAACACTGATGTCTACTTTGTACCAGGCACAGAGCTACACATTGAAGACACAAACACTTGTAGTATATTATGAATATACCACAGTTTATTGATATATGCCCTTCCTTCCTTCCTTCCTTCCTTCCTTCCTTCCTTCCTTCCTTCCTTCCTTCCTTCCTTCCTTATTATGTCTTCTATGACCCTTCAGGATACTTCGCTTTTGACCCTGCAGTGTGTCTGAACACTGCTTTTTCAGGTTAGGCTCCACCATCTCACACGTCTTGTAAAGACACAAAGCTGATCCTGAGGTGCACCCACACCCCCTCCAGATGCCATCACGAATGCCTCCGTCCCTGACTTCTTACAAAAATCACTGACCTCCTTTCCTTCCCATGTAATGGGAAAATGGAATCATTTCCCTCCCACAAACACCAGCTGTGACTTCCCACATGGGAAGAGCAAAAATAATTGTTGATCCTTGCTTTCTTGGTTACATTGGCTCACTTACTCTGATAAGAGACCACTGTTTATGTCATTGACAGATTGGGGATGGGTTATCCGCTTAGATAAAAATGTCATCTATAGTCCTGCCTGGTGACAGAGGTAGAAATGGGAGGACAACATGTCAGGGCCCATATCTTCAGGAATTTGAAGACACAAACTAAAGTTTGGTATATGTTTGTGATGAAAAGGAGGGTGTTATATCTCAATAAAAAAAGCCAAAAAAGACAAGGGCCTTGTGGTGCAGCTACCTTGTCAGTACTCCAAAAGGAGACAATTGAATTAATTCAGGCTGTAAATGCAAATGCAATTCCCATCCTTTCCCTTTGTCTACAACACTCCTTAATTTCTATATTTTTAGGAGACCTCCCTCTCCTTGTTGGAAGCACTCGAAATGTGGCTAGTCCAAATTAAGATGTACTATTAAGTATAAAATTTATACCAGATCCCAAACACTTAGAACAGGAGAAAATATAAAATATGTAATTAGTTTTATGTTGCTTACATATTGAAATGATACTATTTTAAATGTATTGTATTTAGTAAACTATATTTTAAAATAAGTTTCACCCGTTTTGCTTCCCTTATTATGTGCTTACTAGAAAATTTAGAATTATACATTTGGCTAACATTCTATTTCTTTTGTCAGCATTATCCTAAGACATTCCAGCAGGGCATTTCAGACTGAACATACGCTTTTCAAGCAACCACTTAGTGGTATTCTAGTCATACGTTACATGTTGGTTCTTGGGGAATCAGAGGCTAAAATATTGGAAACCTGTGTGAAAGGAAGCGGGGAGAAAAAAGAGTGGGAAGGGGAACTGTCAGTCTTTTGGGGACTCCAAAGCCAACGCTTTCTTTGGAGGCGCCCTCCTTGGTACAGATGTCCAGGCCTTGTATGGCTGCTTTGCTGTTATTGGTTGGGGGCTGTTCCAAGAAGGGCACGCCTTCCGTTGGTAGCTGAAGCCGGCATGACTCTCAGTTAACCACACTCTTCTCAGCCTGGCAGGGAGTTCTTTCTGGAAGGGCGTTCTGAGCAGAGCAGAGCCTGTCGATGCTCAAAGTTGGCTCATGATGTTTAGAAATAATTAGAATTACTTGTTACTGAAAAATCAGAGATTTGCACAATGTTTGAACTTCCGGCTTCTCTTCGAGGAAAACCACTAGGCCCATGTGCCTTTCTGGGAGCAACTGTCTAGAGCTGAGCAGTGGCTGCCTGATTGTGTGGGACGTGGACTCTCCAGCTCCCCCTGCTCAGCCTCCATGTCCCTGACACTCTTTGCCTGGGGGAAGGAGCTGATGTGCCTTGAGGAGCTCCAGGGAGGCTTCAGGCTGGAAAGCCCTGTACTCTGAACCTTCTAGGGCGAAGTTTACAGCAGGCGTGGAATAAATGTTGATTAAATAGAGAAAGGGGTGCCTCAAGTCCCTTTCTTCTAAGGCAGCGGTTCTCAACCTGTGGGTCGCGGCCCCTTCGGGGGTCGAACGACCCTTTCACAGGGGTCGCCTACGACCATCGGAAAACGCATATATAATTACATATTGTTTTGTGATTAATCACTATGCTTTAATTATGTTCAATTTGTAACAGTGAAATTGGGGGTCACCACAGCATGAGGAACTGTATTAAAGGGTTGCAGCATTAGGAAGGTTGAGAACCGCTGTTCTAAGGCAACATGCTATGCTACTCACATGTAGTTTCCCCAAAAGACACAAGGTGGTGGTGTGCGCTCAGAAATTCACCTATATCTGCCGCTGCACACACAAAAGATGAACATTAACATCTCATTTTCCTGTCATGGGGATGTAAAATACTGCATGGGGAATATAGCAATAATACTGCAGTAACCGAACATGGTGTCGGGTGGGTACTAGGCTTATCAGGGCGATCACTTTGTAAATTACATAAGTGTCTAATCACTGTGTTGTACACCTGAAATGAATATAATATTGTATGTCAATGATAATTGAAAAATAGAAAACTATTTTAAAATATCCTGATTTTTATTTACAGGTGTGACTTTGAATTCAGTTAACCATGAATGTGTGCGTAACTTCTAATAATATGTTGTAATTTTACACATATCCTATTACATATAGTATCTTTATCTAATCACAAACACACGTATATAATAAAATGCTTAAAATTGAGCTGAAACCGGTTTGGCTCAGTGGATAGAGCATCAGCCTGCGGACTGAAAGGTCCCAGGTTCGATTCCGGTCAAGGGCATGTACCTGGGTTGCGGGCACATCCCCAGTAGGAGATGTGCAGAAGGCAGCTGATCGATGTTTCTCTCTCATCGATGTTTCTAACTCTCTATCTCTCTCCCTTCCTCTCTGTAAAAAATCAATAAAATATATTTAAAAAAATTGGAAGATACATAATTAGGATATGTAATTAACATATATAACCAGAATACATACAATATAAATACATGAAATTATAAAATATAATAGAATATATATGTCTATATAGTTAAAATACAT